CGGGCTACCATTATCGCTCAGGAAGCTGGAAGTTCTCTTGCTGGTGTTAACCTAAGTAGCAGTGTGTCTTGAATGCATACTCTACTGTTTTCGTCAACACGTGCAGCTATAACTACAGAAGTTCTATTTCTTTTTTTTCCCACTATTACTTGGCCACGTTTTCAGTATCATTTTCTATAAAATATAAATCTAAAAGGCATCTGTGTATATGATATAAAATTTTATGGGCAGTTTTCAGTTTTGAGGCTCCTCAATGAATATTTGATAGTTTAGTGTAATTTTTATGAAGCAGTTCATCATTTTTAATAGGATAATAACAAAAACCTATTTAAGACTTTATACACATCTGTATAGAAATTGGGTCAAATGTTTGTGGTTTTTTTTGTTTTTTTGTTTTGTTTTTTTTTTTTTTTTGCTTCAAAATGTGATACCTGGGGGCGCCTAGGTGGCTTAGTTGGTTGAGTGTCCAACTTTAGCTTAGGTCATGATCTCGCTGTTTGTGGGTTCGAGCCCCGCGTCGGGCTCTGTGCTGACTGCCAGCTCAGAGCCTGGAGCCTGTTTCAGAGTCTGTGACTCCCTCTCTCTCTGACCCTCCCCTGCTCACGCTGTCTCTCTCTCTCTCCTAGAAATAAATAAAACATTTAAAAAAAAAATGTGATACCTGAAAAGTAATGTGGATCCTTGACATTCTGATAGTCTGAGGACCCTTTTCAGGGAGGTGTATCTAAATCCTTTCAAATAAGTTTACAAAATACTTTTGCCTGGTCTATACCCCTGGAATAGAGGTTTTACACTTTACTGTATATTATTATCACCTGTGGAGCTTTGAAGAATCCCAGTGCCTATTCCATCTGCCAGACCCCTTATTAAATCAGAATTGGCAGAGGCATGGTCCCAGATAACAGTACAAGGCCCGAGACAGAGCTCAAAATGATGTCTTAGAAATGTTAAAGATTCATGTAACTATACAATGATTCACATAAAACCATGGTTGAGAGCCAGTGTTAGTTTTTGAGACCACAGCTCAATGCTCCTTATCAGCTAGTTGAAGAAACATGGTTCTAGAAAATTCTTTTCCTTGCCATCCTAACATGTAGCTATATTTTTGAGATTTGGGGTCAAAGCGAGATCTTCCATACTATCAAGTAATGCTGAGGAAATCTTTCCAGTTAGACATAAACCTACCAGTCACTACTGCTCTGAAAAAGTTAGAGGAGTTCTAATCTGTGGGAAGGGAAAGTAATTTGGACTTCCAAACCTTTAGTAAGCAAGTTTTGGCAAAGCAATCTCTTTTTCATTTTCAACTAGAATTGTGATTTCTATGGTTCATATGGTTTTTAACTCATCTGCAGAGAGATTGCCTCAGCATCAACTGGGAAACTTGTTAACCATGTGGTTTCCTAGACATCATTCTAAGAGAATTGGATCGAGTAAGTTTTGGGGCAAACTCAGGAGTCAGTGTATTTACAAAACACCAGATGATTCTGATGCACTCACAGTCACTGTAACCTCTAACCTATTCAGGGGGTTCAGGAATTCTGATTGCATCCACAGGAACTTGATAAAACATTTCAGGAATTCTGATTGCATCAGATACCCAGAGACACAAGTAGGAAAGATCCAGGTTTCACATTCATGACATTCACAAAAATCACAGAGATTTAAAAATGAAATAACTTTGCCATCCCATAGTTGAAGAAAAAGGACATAGTGCTTACGTGTTATATAAATTTGTTCTCATCAAACCTTTTGACCGGATTAGTTACATCCTCATATTTGTAAATCCATTCACAGTATCCTTTCCTGTAGGCTTTCAGCAGTAGGCATGGCAGAAAGAAAACAGTCTGGTGAATCTGTTGATATGTGTTTATCCCCCTTCAGAAAAGTCCTGTGATATTTGCCAGGTTGACGAATGTCACTCTTAGTTCAGTATATTCTGTATGGTAGAATAGATTTGAAAAACATGTTGTAGACAGACATTTCTGTTTCTTAGAGAAATTGCTACCCAACACATGTGACCTCACTAGTCAGAGTTTTCTACAGTCATGCTAAGTGTCAGAGTTTAAGGCAGTGATTCTTAATATTTTGAATCAAGGATCTCTGAGAGTCTGAGAGACTTAGAGCTCTCTTACCCAGATATTTGAACATATTTAAATGAAGTCAGGGTTTCTATATATTTTTAGAGACTCTATTAACATCCCACAGCTCCTTACAGCCACATTGCAGCTTAAAAAGTCCTGGTATAAGATATGTGGTATCTATATGAATTTAGAATTTAATAGGATTTTTTTTGTTTGTTTTTGTTTTTCAGGTATCTGTACAAGAATGAAATTCATGCCCTAGATAAGCAAACCTTTAAAGGACTCAGATCCTTAGAACAGCTGTAAGTAATAAAAACTTCTTTATTGAATCATTGATGGTTACGGTTCAAATGGAAGTTTTTTTAATGCCATTATGTGATAGTTGAGCAATTATTTTAAGCTTTGTCATGAAGCTTGAATGATTGAATATTCTGTCATTAGTTGGATAGAAATCAGAAATGTGTAATGGAGTTGGAGTGAGGGCAGGAAGACAGAGCTCAGCTGGGATCCTAGCCCCTGTGTGTAGTGGTGTGCTCTTGGGTGACTTGCCTTCCCTAGATCTCTGTTTCCATATCTCCGGAATAAAGATATTTCTGCTGTGAAGATGAAGATGTGCCATGCAGAGACTCTAGCTTATCATGTGATACAAAACAGGCATTTCATAGAAGGTAGCTGATGGTTGTGATTGTTATTAATTTATCAAACCCATAGACATTAAACTGATATGGGAATTCCCAGAGCATGACATCAACCCCTTATCTGACAAATTAATAACCAAATCCAATGTTAATTAAAAGACTTGCCTGAGGTGGGGCGCCTGGGTGGCTTAGTCGGTTAAGCGTCCGACTTTCGCTTAGGTCATGATCTCGCGGTTCGTGGGTTCGAGCCCCGCGTCGGGCTCTGT